TTTCAACTTCAGTATCTTGTTCGATGAGGAGGTCAAAATTTAAAATTCAAAAGCGCCGGGAAAAACAACATAATTAAGGAAAAACGGGAATTTTTACGCAAAATCGAGATGAGCTGGCTGAAATAGACGAACAAATTGCCAAAAAAAAGTGCCAAATACCTACCATCTTCTTCTTTTGTTTAACATAATCATAAATCAGTGGAAAACTATACCAATAATTATACAACTAAATAGTTGTGGTGAAACTAATTTACTCGACGATGATCGCATATTTGATCTTGGTGGTATTAAGATTTAAGAGTAATTCTCAATATTTTCTTAAAAGGATGTCACACCAGCATGTGTTGTCTCCGTCTTACAAATGTACAACACAGAAAAACTGTTTTACGAGGGACAACTTTTCTCGCACCATATTTGTTGTAGAACTACCAAATATTCATAACATACGTAAAGAAGAACTTTATCTGTGAAACAGAGTGCCCATATTTTAGATAACAAAAATATAATAAAAGTTATTTGCTTCTAAATATTTTTTTTTTTCATTTGCTTATAAAAAATGACTGGATGGTTCTATTAAAAAAAGAGCACGCTGTTGCACAGTGTAATATATAATATTTAGACTTAAAATAAAACACGAGACAAATAATGACAACGGACCATATTACGTATATACATTATACGCACTCCTCTTACATACACGCGACACGTGAAACGCATAAATAATATTCAACACCTCCCCGAGAAAACTGTTTAGTGGACTACACAATCGGCGGAGCCAGCAAACACCGTATATTATAAAATCGTGAACTCATTCTTCTATATACGTGTATATAGACGCATATACTATACTAGCTGATCCCGTGCACTTCGTTGCCCGTTCAATGTACCAACTCTATATGCCTCAAACTGTGTTCAATTCGTTATTTATAATATTCGGTGTATGGTGTTCAAAATGTATCTTAACTTTTTCGTTGCCCGGAATAAAAATTCTGATTTGCAGCAGTATATTATCAGGTAGGCAATCTACCTGCGGTAGATCGCGGACCCCGTGCTGTTTGTACGTAACTGTATGATTTAACTCTTATGTATCAAAGTTATAGCAAGTTTATCGTGTTCCACCTATAATGGATTAATATAATCTATTAATACAAAATCCTAACCTAAAATAACCGTACCAATATCAGATGAATAATAAAAACCAAATTTAACCAAATGTACCAACTTTATATGACTCATTAGTTTTCATTCAATTCATTATTTAATATTCGGTGCATAAAGTATTAAAAATTTATCTTAAATTTTCTGTCACCCTGAATAAAAATTCTGATTCGCAGCAGTACATTATCAGGTAGGCAATCTACCTAGGTAACAAACATGGCCGATTAACCAATAGCAACCAATATATTATACACCGGTGGATTTTCCTAAAATTTTTTTTCATATAAACCTTCTTCGTGAAATACTCTTTCGTTTAAAAAAAAAAATCAAGAAGATATGATAAGTAGTTAAAGAGTTCAGCCCGTACAGTGATTTTCATTTCACATTTTTATAGTTGGATATTATAATATTATAATTTATATTTAAAAAGTAAAGCAAATAGTTTTTTATTATTATTATTATTATTATTATTACTATATGGCTTATAAACCCATCATTGCTATAGACGCATAATAATAATAAATACTGATTGAATAATGTTCAATAACAAATAGTCGATGTATTATATTATAATAAATGGTTTGTTTGTGCTCGTGGCAACGACTTAAAACGATTAACTATAATTCTGTATTAAAATTTTATGAAAATTTATAATAATTGATAACTCCTTTGTTTATTAAGTTAGAGAATCGATCAAAATCCATGAACCTTCTCCGCAATGAGCTCTTCAATTTAAAAAAAAAATCATAACGATCGGTTCAGTAGTTTCAGAGAACATATCACTCAAAGGTTTTCATTTTCACATTTATATATTAGATATATATATTATATACTTTGATAATTCTCTGATCAAGACGATAGGTCAAAAAAACGCAATAAATTACATTTGTCACACCACACAAAAAAAGAAAATATATCAATACTTTAATATCACGTATTTATCGATACACAAGACGAAGGGATCACATCAAAATCATGTTATACAAGGACCACAGGGAATCGACTCGTCACCAGTGTCATTGACCAGAGAAGTCTCGAATCTCGATAGACATTGCCCGCGCCAGTCAACATCGAGACACACACTTACACATTATTCGTATATGCTCATATATTACCTTTTTGCGTTATGAACTTATTATATGTATGTTGTATGTATCATTCGAATATTCATTTATGGTTACTAAGTTAATTGTCTCATATTGCTAAATTAAATATCTTGTTAATTATTATTCTCCATCATCATATCTTCAATTTAAATAATCAATTGCTACCTAGTGTAGTGTGACTGGTACATTATAATTATTATATTCCATTGAAAATTAACTACTCATAGGTTAGGTTATATTCGGTTCGTTATCAATGTCAGTAAGAGGTCCTATATGGTGACGGCGAATGCAACAAATCTCTAATGTGTACAAACAATTTCCAAAATTAAATAATAATCAAATTACACTAAAATTTACAAGTAAAGTTAAGAAATGTACCGTAGAATCCATACGACTATATGAGTAATAGTCGAATCATCATAATATAAACATCACCAAATGATACTTCATAAGGTAGAACAAAATTATCTTAGTTCATTGGTATAAGTTAAAGTCACGCAGTACATACTTAGCATATATAAGTCAAAGTGATATCGATCGTCGAACACCACCCCGGAGAAATACAATTCAATCGCAGAAGGCAATCGTCACAACCCACGCACTAGGTAAGTGACATGACATATATTATTTATTATATATTTATATATATAAATTATAATAACGTAGATAATATAAATAACATTAGGTAGGTATAAAACAGTAGTAGAAAGATCTTACGCGGATAAACAAGCAATATAATAATATAATTTTACACGATTTCCAAATACGTAAACACACATCCATACATTATATATTATTTATGAACTTTTACCGGAACTTATAATTTAATCATCTTATATATGTGACACTTTTTTATAAGATAAAATTAAAACAATGGGAAATTGTATACAGGCGCGGATCCAGCACACATTAATGGGGGGGTGGGAATTACAAATATTTATACACATTTACTATTTACCTACTGCTAAATACGAGTATATATATATATATATATATTACCGTATATAAGTGCAATAGTACTTAATGCAATAATTAAGTATTAATTACTAGGTCTGATCAGTTTTTACACAGCACTGGTTTACCTAGGTTCTTCCATAAATTTAACATGCAGATACCGAAGTTTTATTTTAGATTTTGTTTCTTATAACCCTTATCATATTATATTGATTCAATAATACATAATTTTTACAGCCACTCAGCTCTCCCTGGCTCCGACACTAGCAAAAATTCTTCCATGGGACACATTTTACACGCACGTACATTGCCCTGGCATCCCTTATTGAACTTTTTACAAAACAAACTAGGTCACGAATTAGCACGACTATTTTTAGAATTTTCACGACCTTTTTTTACGAGTCATTTATAATAAAAACTATGAGGGAGGCTGGAGTAATGCGTGAAAGTGGAAAACTGGTTTTCCGGGAAATTCTAAAAGTGTCGGGTTCTGCAAAAGTTGTGCAAATGCACGCTAATGACGTTCTAATGATAGGTAAAAAAATATTTTTGGGGGACTGGAGTAACGTCACGCCAGCCCCCTCATAGTTTTTTATAAATAACTGAAATAACTCGTAAAAAAAGGTCGTGAAAATTCTAAAATTAGTCGTGCAAATGCATGCTAATGAAGTGCTAATTCGTGACCTATTGTTTTCTGTAAGAAGTTCAATGACGGGGGGCCAGAGTGATGTACTTTTTACACACTCATTAAAGAGTCAATAGTTCTTCTACAAAATTAATTTTAGACATTTATACCTACATATTATTATAATACCTAGGTCCTAGGTATACAATCAAGTATAATATATTATATTTATAGTAAATATCTGTAAGCCTATCGTATGTAGGTACTAAGTTGTCTTTAATACTTACTTATAGTCGGGAGAATGAAGAGTGGCCGTTGGTGATATGTTAGAAACCTTTTTTTTCTTCGGAAAGCAGGGATACTAAAAATCATATATATCATTCTATAGAACATTTGTATTAGGTTATTAAATCTAAATATAATATTTCAAATTTCGCGCTCTGCAAAACCATCACAGAAATTCACCACCAGAAGTGTTCGTATCAGCGGCCACTTTTCATTCTCCCGACTATTGTATAATATGTAAGTACTAAAAAAAATATTATATAATATTTTAAAATATATATTATAATATTATACGGTTCTAGGTCGAATATTAAAGTGCAAAACCCCGACACTGCGTACGGTCGGGTAAAACTTTGGATTTTAGAACGCGGACACTTTGTATTATTATATTCATAATATTATATAACTACATAAAGTTTATGTTTAGGTATAATATAAAACGGTCTGAATAGTCATGACCATTGACGTATTAAAAATGTTATTAAACTTAAATACCATTTTGGGTATTATAATTATAATTTATTAGTATATTACAGCACCAATATAAGTAGGTACCTATTACCTAACTATTACCTATTACCTAACCTATTATAATGCCCTGTTGTTCTCAGCTAACATGTACATAAAAAAAACTTTGATTATTTTGGCTTGTTAATAACGTCTTTAATTTACTTTTAAATAAAAAAATGTTTAAATCAAATCGATTTTTATATTATTCGTATACAGGCACTTATATTATTATCTATACTTATATTTACTTTACGTATAATGTATATAATAGTACAAATTGTCCTCGTTAAGCATTTTAAACAATAACGGACTGTTCAGAGTGACCATTTATCATAAATTAAATCGTGTTAAATTATATTTACCTATAAAATCTCGGCCCATTTAATGTGCCTCCGATGAAACTCATAAACAAGGTTTGAAAACTTTTCGTTTGCAACGGACTCTGTCACGTATGAGAGTTGTTCGACATCCTTCCACTTGACGAGAAAGTGATCGGTGCCGTCTATATTTTTTTTATTGGTTATAATTTCGGGAACCAAATCAACGCTGAGGTCTTGTATGGGATATTTCGAATCCGGCGGAGGATCGGGTAAAGATAATCCGACCGCGATCTGTTGACATACAAAAATGAATGTAATTAATGTAAGCAGCCATCGCAGCAGTTACAACAACAACTGTTGCAATAAGTCACTAATATATTATAATATTTGAAACGAATCGACAACATAAGACGAATAATCCACTCACGCCCATTTTAATTTTTTCAGACATCGTACAGATAACACGTCCTTGACTTACGAATACTCGTATATTACTGTAAGTCGGATTTTCGATGTGGCGACTATCACCGGTACTGTGTTCCGAGCTAACCACTACCGCAATCTACGGTTCCGGAAGTACTACTGATTCGGTTAACAGCCACACAGCGGTATACACCCCACGACCACGTCTAAGCGCAGCGACGTGAAATTTCAGCGGTTTTTTATCGCGTCAGTTCGCCGTCGGCAGTGCCCTGGGTGGTTCGGGGGGGGGGGGGGCATAGCCTACCCTGGTAAATGGTAGGGGACGACTGTAAAAAAGTAAAACGATCTTTTCGAATATGCAATGGACAATTTTATTATAAACCGTTAGTAAATATAATATAAATAAATGTGTGTAACATTGCGGTTCTTTATCTACAACCTGTGAATATTTTATAGGACATTATATCGGATATTATTTATGTGACATTTTTTTTGTTTAAATGAACACTTCTAGTACTAAAGACCAAATTGGATATCACAGATCCCTATAATTATAAATTGAGGATTGTACCATATATATAATACTATAGAAATGCTATAGAAATACAATCTTTACTGTTTTATAACAAAATAGGTAGGTATTTAAATATTATCCGACTCTGCAGAAAAGCATAATAAATTTACTATGAGACTAATAACATAACACAATTCAGTCTTCCATAATATAGTAGTTTGTTATAATATATTATTTATAATTATATATTTAGTTCACTGTTGTTTTTGATTTTTGGTGGATAAGAAATATTGTGTAAAAATAGGTAATGAAATAATAAAAATTAAGGGGGTGAGCCAAAATGTTGTTGCCCGTATGTGAAAAAAATAAATATAAATAAAATAAATATTAAATATGGCCCTGGTCGGTGGTATACCTATACGTAGTGTTTGAAGTATGAAATATTTACATGGTGAAATATTTCACAAAAACGTGAAACATTGAAATTTTTTTAATACAAATATTAATGATGGTTATTTATCAATTATTAATTATATAGTCCAAGAGTTCTAGGTATAATCATTGACATTAATGGAATACGAGTGCTACGGTTGACATATTACTATATTAGGTGTTATTTTCGATTATTAATAGCAAAACCTGGTTATTTTTCCAGGAAATGGCTTACCGTCGACGACGATCGTAGGTACTATTACTGTAACTACATAATATTATTTATAATATTTATTAGTTTATTACGTTGTCAAATTTTATTATCGTAATTCTTATACATGGATAATATACATGTATAAGATTGTATAACTACTTGTATCATTTAAACATTAAAATATTTGAAATTGTTGAATACCATTTTAAATGTATAATACCAAAGGTTAGGTATACATACAGGTACCATACAGTTATGAAGGTAATTTATGACAATTATGTGTAAATATAAAACTTATTTAAAAATAAAACAAAATTTATTAAAACACTGAAATATTTCACATATTTTTTTAAATTTCATGAAATTTTCAAACACTACCTATACGGTATTATTCATAAATAATTATTATACTCAAATATATCCTGATAACCCTGCAATACGTGTACAGTCCGTCGAAATTCAAAGTAGATGCAGAGTGGAGACAGTACGTACCATTTCGTTATTATTTCTGAAAATTATAACAATTCGTTAATAAATAGTTAGGCTAATATTTTTAAAGTCAATATGTTCGAGAATCAGAATTTCCAGAAATGTATCGGACAGTTTTTTTTCCTTTCCGGCAATGCAAGTAAATTCCGATTAGCGCCTTTTTCACAGTTATATTCTATATTATAGTCCTACAGGTGTAACATACCATCCATAAACCTGGAAGATAGCTAGTTCTTAGTATGAAGAGATATGTATATTATATGAAAAAATTTCATAAAAATGGTTCCTCAAGAGTAAGTCACTAATATATATTATATTCTCTACATATTAGATACCTACCTATATTATATTAATGTTATAAAATATATGAATATAATATAATATGATTAGTGTTATGAATTTATTGTTTATGCATTTTGTATCCCTCTCCTAAAGCAGCCTAGAGTACATAAAGAAATTTATTCAGAATATAGGTACCTACCTATTATACTCACATATTACGCTTTGTATGGTTTTCTATTACCTACTTGAGTTTATTATTAAATAATAAAATAGGTTTTTTTCGAATATATTATTATATCGTTTTTAATAGTCAATAAACTTATGCTAGTATTATTTTAGATCCTGAGTGGAACGATGAATGTATTGATTTTACAATGATGTGTGTGTTTTTTTTCATTTTTTAAATTTAAAATTTTTTTTTTTATTTGCGTCTGTGTACACGATGAGTAGTCGAAATAATGCTTCAATTTTCAACTTCAGTATTTTGTTCGATTGGAAAGTGAATATCTTTGGTGCATTGAGGAGGTTAAAATTTAAAATTCCCAGTAATTTTCAAAAGCGCCAAGAAAAACAAAAGAAAAATTAAGGAAAACGGGAATTTTTACGCAAAATTAATTTTTCACAAATTTGAATTTGGTTTTTGGTGTAACTTAGAACAAATGACCGTAGATACATGAAATTTTCACTGGTTGTTTATATTTGCATTTTCTATACACGATAACATTTTCAAAATATTATGATTTATTTTGAACTGTTTAGGGACATTTTCATTTCAAATTTTTTTTCTAAAAATATCAATAAAACTTTATTTGTTGGGTAAAAAAGCTTGAAAATTTAATACAAGGCTCCTACTATATTGTTCCAATGACATTTGGAAAAGATTAAAAATCCTTATTCACAGTTTTTATTTATAAGCATTTAAAGTTCAAATATTCACAAAACACTGAAAAATCACGAAAATTAGAAAAATTATTTTTAGTTGAAAATTCATAAAAATTTTTCTTTTTAAAAATAATATTTGAAAATGTCATACAAGTTTCCTCATAAGTTTGTCTACGTTTATCAAAAAAAAAAAAATGTCTACCTACAAGCAAATGAAAGTAATTTTTTTTTGAAATTCATATTTTCACAATATTGGATATTCACGATCGATTTCTCATGTAGCGATTTTGTTATTTAGTTGTAATTCAAAAACAAATAACTATAGATACACGAAAAGTTCACTGAATGTTTATATTCTCTTTTTATATACACTATATGCATTTTTGAAAATATTTTGTCTCTTTTCTAGCTGTTTACGGCATTGTTAGTTTTCAATTATTTTGTTTTATTTTTCTCTAATTGTCAATAAAATATTATTTGTTAGGTATAAAAGCATGGAAATTTAATACAAGTTTCCTGATAAACCTATTGAGTACTGTTACAATAGCAGTTGAAAGATATGTTCAAATTAATTTTTAAACTATTGAGGATCGAACAATTATTGTTCTTTATTTAGGAACGACAAACGATTTAGTTCCTTTTTGTCAAGATGAACGTTAACTAATTACTTTCTTAAATAGTAGTATCCCTAGCACTGATTGGGACTCAGTTTCGTCGGTTCCGATACACAATAAAAACGAGCCTATTCTCTCGGCACTCTCCAGGAAAACACGCTCAGCTCAGTACGGTATAATAACCATCCACCCTCCCATACCGCCATTTACGTCCTATTTCAACATCGTTCGTTCTTGTTCACTCAACATTTCTCTCACCTGACAACACAGCGTAGTCGCACCGTGGTGAAACATCGTACCGTGGAAGTTAAGAAATTGAGTCCGAACACAATTTATGGCACCGCCAAAATAAAAGAATTTTACCTCCACCGCGGTAACGGTATGCGGGATGAGCCCGTCACACAACAGCTCGCTGGTACACCTACCTCCAAACAATCAACTACGCTTGTAAACCATTGAACTATATGATATATATTTTATATGCCTATAATTATGAATTAAAACCTTCTAACTTTAAATTTACAAATTTTTATTTTATTCCCAATATACAAATCCTCGCAACTTCCTTTACATTTATATAACAAATGTAGGAGTCCACAAGAAAAGCATATTTCAATACTTGTTATAGGTATTATAAATTATAATTATCTACTAATAAACTATTTACTTATCGTTCAATTATTTATATTCTATTGATTTAATCATAAAGAATTTGTGGAAATTAAAAAATAAATAGATGCCAAGTTTTAAAAACCAAACTAAAGTCTTAAATAATATCGCGGAACTCCGAAAATTAATTTAAGATATTAGCGCCGTGTGCAAGACAAAGATACCATTATACTATTATACTGTTCCATCTGTTTCTAACATTCCCTTTCGGGCAACACTGCTTGGTGAGCATTCCAGTTATCATATAGTTCAATGGTGTAAACAAACCAGAATGCCTACTATCAATATTATGTTTATGGTTTACTGTTTAGTAATAATTAGTATTAACTGGGTATTGATTATTTATAATCGAGTACGACAACACGACTACCGGTGACAGGGACCACTTTAATAATATTATCCAGTTATTCGTCAATCGTCAGTCATCATCACTTACCTAGGACGGTTTCCACACACACTTTTCCTTGCACTTTTTAGACTACTTAGCGTCCCATTATGGTGAGTACCTCAAAATACCATACCTCACACGATAAACAAAATATGGTGCGTCCGTTCCGTTAAAGGTCGTATTAGGTTTACAATTCAGTTGTAGTAAATCTTGATCGGGGATTGGTTTAAGAGAATTGTAGACAAAATCTAAATCTACAGCACATCAAATTATGTGACATATAATATTAATAATAGCATATAATAAATAATTAAATAGGTAGATTAGGTTATGTTAGGTTAGGTAAAATATAAAAATAATAATGTCACATTCGAAAATTTTGATAATAGTTCAATCACACCGACCAGGTTGTTGTCGAAATGTGTGTGTGTTACGGACTAGAATGTATTAATATCTATTTAACGTATGAACTTAAAATTTAGAACTGTGGTTGCTAAAATGTTCTAGAAGTACCTACTTGGAAATTGCTTATAATGGCACTGCA